GGTACCGACGCTCAATCGGGCACACAGCCTTGACCCTCGTTGCTTTTGCCAGATATTCCAATTTGTTTGTAGAAGATACATTTGAAAAGTGGTATAAAGTTAGTGGAAGTGGGACCAGCCGATTATCTTTGCATGTTGTGAATGTGACTACAGCCTCAAACATGAGTGCAGTGTATTTCTGCGCTGCCAAGAGCCACAGTGAAGAGAAAAACTCCTAAACTGTTACAAAAACCTGCTGTTCACGATATAGAAACCACATAAATACTGATTAATAACTGCGATCACACACCTGCGACAAACATATGATGAGATGGTGTAGGCCATGAGGGGGCGTTATTTTGCTATACGCATAAATATCACTCGCAGTATGTTTTAGAGTAATAGCAAGAGTTCAGCAAACCCTGAATAAATGCTAATATTCAAGAACCTGCAAATACATGATAGTTATTAAATACAGATTTTCAAATGCACATAGTACATCAGTAGATTAATTAGATATAGTTCGAACATATAAGTACATAATGCAACAGTATTGCAGTAAGGGTTCTGTTATTAGTAATTATTCTGACAAAATGACTTTGGCTATGTTTATGTACAGAGCAGTATATGGACAATATGCAACAACAGATATGGTTTAACTTCAAATGTTTCTCAATGCAGACTGTACCATGAGAAACTTTATTTAGTGAGGGCCAATGGAGTAAGATAATTAAAACAGGATTATAAATTCGAAACGCACAAAATATAATCTCTCATAATATCTAAATGTGGCCTGTGTCCAGTGATGACTTTTCACAGGTTAGATTGAACCACTTAAAACTTTAATAACAAGCAAAGATTGGAGTCATTTCGAAAACAGGGTCAATAACAACCAACCAATAAGAACAGTAGTGTTTTAGGTCCCGCCCACTTCACCTACAACAGAAAATATTGTTTATGCGGACGATAAGATGTGCACCACAGCAGGCCACATCATGATTCTTCTCATTTTCATTGCCTTTAAAGTGATAGTGGCTTCAGGTAATATATATATTTTTAACACATTTTCTATCAAATTCTACACTGCAAACTAACAAAAATAAGTACAAAATATTCATACATAAGTTAGTATTTTTTGTAATCATTAATTATATTTTTTGTCTTTTGAGGGTCTTCAACCAATGTTCGTCAAATTCCTGCTGAAATAGTGGTTGAAGTAGGACATCCCGGTGAAATCAGATGTTCTCACAGCATCCAAGGCTACGACCGTATAATGTGGTACAAGCAGCTCAGCCGCTCCACTGAGCTGCACTATCTGGGCTACATGAACGTCAATCACGGGTATCCAGAGGACGGGACGGGGGTGAAGATAGAAGGTGGATCAGTAAAAGGCGAAACCTGCATTTTAACAATTCCAAAAAACATGGAAAGTGCAAAGTATTTCTGTGCCGCGAGAAGCACAGTGCGACAAAGGGGTTGGCCCTGTTACAAATAATGTTTACAATGATCAAAATGGAAACATGCAAACCACCTGAGGCATGACGAGCTGAGCCAAATCTGATATATGGTTATGAGAAACCATAGAGGTCCCAGACGTGCCAAAACACCTGCAAATGTAGATTGTATTGCATAGAAATACATCAATAATGAGGTTATTGCATTTGTACTCTCAGCTCTGCGTCATATCAAAGACACAATGAAACCTCTTTGAACCATGTGACCTTTTCCGAAATGCGAAAGAAGCCAAATGTTCTAATGTTCTAGTACGGAACTCCACAGAGAATAGACAAGTTATACATCACTGAGCATATTGTTAGTAATTAAGCATTTGTGGATACACGATTTGAGAAGAGATTATATAACCTGGCAAGATATGTGAATATTGACAGTCAAACCAGGGGTGTCCAAACTTTAAAGAGAGCTACTTTAGTTCTTACTACTGTCCTGCATGTGTGCTGCAACATTGAAATTTCCCCACTGTGGGACGAATAAAGGTTCTCTTCTCTTATAGACAAGGGTTAGGGTCAGAGAATTTGGATGATCCAGAAGGGGATTGGGAGAATGTCCTATGGTCAGATGAAACCAAAATAGACCTTTTTGGGAAGATTAAGATCCTTTATTTGTCCCACAGTGGACTGACAAATAACTATATAAAATACAATATGTTTGCATAATAAAGAAGCACGCATAAAATGTCTAGCTTTAGCAGAATAAGGAAGCAACTTTAGCATCATGAAGAAAATGCAGATTTGTGTCCAAAGATCACCATTTCAGATAAATGTACAATGAACATAATATGGATCAACAAACGCTACAAAAAGGTAATTGAGGTAAGTAGCATTTACCTTTTCATGGTTGAGGCTATAAATAAAATTATGTGGTCAGTAAATGCCACCATAAGTTTTGTGATGTTTGTTTATCTGTGCTTCACATGATGTAAAAACAATCCTGATAAATATATTCTTATTGTCCTGGTGGGACACTTTTGGTAAATGTATTTTTTTGCATTTTACATTTGTGAAGTTTGAATTGTACAGAGGATTTACCTTCCACTAAAACATGTGCAATAGGAGCAAATATAGAGAGAGTGAATGGATTGTGAAGGTCAGAGGCTTCTGTCGTCACGTGTGTGGAGTGAATGGATAAAAACAGTACACCTACAGCTTTGTGGAACCTTGGTCTGTGAAATGCACTAAATAAAAATGACTCACCTACCTGTTATTAGTTATTATCAGAACAGTGCTGATTTAAGAACACTCACTGATGCACGATTAGGACAGAAAACATCTTTCAATCACATTTAGACCAAACTGTGAAGTGTTTCTTCAGACAACTGCTTCTTTAACTCCTCCTATTTAGCTTTACACTTTTTCACCTCAGTCAAAATGCACATGATTCAACGCTCTCAACTCTAACTCGCACAACAGAATGAGGCCTCTTTGGGGCATGTATTGTTTTACAGGTGATTTTCACACGTTTGTTTTGCATTAGTTGCTGCGTGTGTTGAATACAAGCCTAACGATCTGCTCGTGCCTCTTAAACAAAGAGTAGGGCTTTCATGTTTTCAGATACACTCTTACAATCTTTCTCCTGGGAAGAAATTAGTTGAAAAGGAAAAATATGACCTCATATTATGTAGATCTTTACAGGAATGGCAAAATAAATCAGCCACTAACTATCAGAAAGGCTGAAGCAGAAGATACAGCGATTTACCAAAGTGCAGTGAATATGACCTTACACACACTGACAGCAGCTGATCATTCCACAGCAGAAAAATATTGCACAAAAATAACTCCGCCCATTCAGCTGCAAGGCGGAAGTAAATGACTACTTCTTGTTCAAATGCAGGAGAAATAGGGGACATGACAAATTCATAGGTAGAGAGTAACAATGATCTACTTCTGCCTACTTTGCCTTGTGACAGGTAATGATGTGGATGATTAAATAAGTAGAAGTCACACTTGTTTCCTCACAATGACTTGCCAAATGTAGCTGTATGCACTACTGATGTGTCTAATGCTTGGTTTTCATTCACTCTACTTTACACACAATGTGTTTGGTTAATAGTAAATCCCTGTTTTCTTGTATTTCCAGGCTGCTGTTTTGCTGTTCAAGTCCACCAATCTGACACAGATCTAATCCACCGCATGAATGACAAAGTACACATTTATTGCACTCACAGCAGAACGGACTACAGGCTGATGCTCTGGTACCATCGGCCGTTTGGAGACACCGCCTTGCACTTAATTGGATATCTCTATTTTAAAGAAGTCAAAATGGAGGAGCAATATAATGAGTTGTGCAAAATTAGTGGCGATTTGGGAGGGACTGAAGGCAAGAATGGATCTTTGTCAGTCCAGTTAGAAGGACCAAAGCAGAGTGGAGTCTATTTCTGTGCAGCCAGCCAAGCAGATCACTACAAATAACGTAACAAAGTGAACAAAAACTATAGCTGGGTTTGATAGTGGTTTGGAGAGAGACAGACATGAGACACCTGCTGTTGTGGCTTTATCCTGGTTTATAAGTGGCAAGATGGCTGTCAGTATTAAATTTAGGACTGACGATGATAGAAATGATTTTTATTATTACAGTTTATATGAGATTCAGAGCAAAGAGCAAACCATTATAATAGAACTGCTGTATAATATATTTGTGACCTTTGGAAATTGAGAGCTGTATTGTGAGATCCTTAATCAACACTATTCACAGCACATCCCCAAAGTCACACAATAACATGTGTGACTAGGAGCCACCTCACTCAAAATGACACATTATCCCAAAGTCACCGCTACAATTAAATGCATCTACTATTTAGTGTTGAGTGAAGACCGGGAAAGGACCGTTTCTCTTCTCATCTCAAACCTGACGACTTCAGACGGTGGAGTGTTTTTTGGACGACACAAGCCACACAGTAGGATGCTTTTACAAAACCCCTAAAAAGACACGTTTGTAAATCTATTTAAGGAGGAGAGTAAATCATGAAAAAAAGAGTGCGTCTGAGTCCAAATATGTAAAAATAAGTGATTACTTATGTGCTCATCAAGGACAATTAAGAGACATTAAGAAGACGAAGAAGAAGAAGAAGAAGAAGAAGAAAGGAAACCCACGCGTTTCAGCCAGGACTTCATTATTTGATCGTTTTATTTTTGGAAAGTTTGTTTCATATTGTATTATTCCCTGAACAAAACCTATGTTTTGACAAAACTGCACATAATAGGTAAATGGTGAGTAAAGTAGACTAATAAAAGTCTATTTGTAATTTAACTATAACTATGGTTTCAATGTTTAGAATGTAATGAATGATGTGGGTTTTTCTCTTAAGAAAATTGACTCTAAGTATAACATGACATTGTGTCCATACTAATCCTTTATGATCAATGCTGCAAGTTAAAATAATGATTTGAAAAATGATTCTAAAGTCTAGTCTTTGCAGGATCCAGTGCATTAGCCCAACCCACTGATCATGTGATCAAACTTTTATGTAAGCCTTATTCAACATCATACAACGGCCTCACATCAAGATGCTGTTCTTCTGTCTGTCTTTGTCCCTGTTGTTCCAATCAGGTCAGTCTGTCTGATTTGTTTTACTGTATTTGAATTGAACTGAACTTGAATCAAAAGGTTGTTTTTACTTCAGGTCTTCCCATCAGAGTGATCCAACCAGTGAGACACATCCTGGCAGACATGGGCTCTTCCATAAGGATGGACTGCAGTTTGGAACAATATTCAATGAACAATTTTTGGATGTACTGGTTTGGACAGAGGAACAATGGGGCAGAGATAAAGAAAATCTGCTCAGAAAATGACTTAAAAACAGAGCATTTTGAGTGTTTCCTCGATGGAGCCAATAATAACTTTTCTGTGGAGATCAAAGCGCTGATCCCAGACGACACAGGCTCGTACTACTGCACTGCCTCTCACAGCAATGCATTCTACCACAGCGCTGTACAGATACAGACACCTGTAGGCAGGAGCGGGGAATTAGAAAGGAAAGATTTTCATAGGTTTACATGGTCTTCATACAAAAGTCAAGACTCAAATCAAGAATTATATTGTTTTTTCTGTGGGTTCAATAAAATTAAAATAAATAAAACAATAATATAAATAGTACAATAAAAATAACTCCAATGTTCAAATCAAAAAGTATCTATACTCAAAATATACCTATATTTATGACACATTAAAGGAAATCAAGCGTTTCTGTTCATTTCACAAAATGTATAATTGTGTGATCTCATTCCCACACAGACCTGTCCAGGCAACACATGTCACTCCACACAGGATTTTATTTGCACTTAAAGCTGGGGCTCTTAACTTTTTTGTTATAGAAATATACCATGTTTTGTTGTATCTTATATTAACTGAGACCTGCCTTTGCTGGTCCTGTCTTCACTTTTCTGTCTGAAAAAGATCTTCTGAAAAGTCTAAAAATACATGCATGTGAAAACTATTGACAGAACCAAACTGTTGAAGGCCAGGAACTATAGTTACATTGATTGTATTACTTAGTTCACTTTATTGTTAATTGAAATTTTTGTTCTCATAATGTAAAGAAAAACAAATGGTCTGAGTAATTGACCATAATCCATAATCTCCATCCATAGTTAAAATTGCTGATGGTATTTGTTTCATTAAAGACTGATGGACAAATTGCTATTGATGGTTGAGATGTAATTTTTGACATCTACTGTTACCTTATTTCTTTTCAATCAAAGTTAAGGTATGATTTTTACTAATACTCAGGAATTAAGTAAAGAAATCAAGAGAACTCCATGGGGTTTCAGAACAGTTTAAGTGCGATTCCCTTTCAGTTAATGTCTGGTTCTAACCTGGCTCACGTCAGATCGATGTGAAATCCTCAGAATTTATAGTGCGACAGTGGACTTTCTCCACCGACTCCCACTGATGTCTGCTGTTGTTGTGTCCTTGGCAAGACACTTAACCTCTGGGAACACCAGCCACAGTGGGGCGGCTGCGGCTGCAAAGTGCCAAACTACCGTTGTGTCCTTAGGCAAGACACTTCACCCCCATTGCCTAGAATGAGTATGGTGTGTGTGTGAATGGTTGGTGGTGGTCAGAGTATGGCACATACTGGTTGCCTCGTATCTGTCAGTGTGCCCCAGGGCAGCTGTGGCTACGTGTATGGAGTGAATAATGACATGTGAAGCGCCTTTGAGTGTCCAAAAAAACGCTATTTTAAACCAATGCATTATTATTATTATTATTAGAATTGAGTTAATGTCGTTAAAATAAATTATTGGAGATGTTTGGGTAATTGGAGAGCACAGAAGAAAGTTGCTGGACAGTTTTGCCACATCTTAGACCACATGAAAATGATCACTTGTTCTCAAAGTGTGTTCTTCTGAGGATACCATAAAAATGATTTTTATTTTATTTTGTTCATTATTATGTAAAAAGGTTTAAAGAATGAATAACAGACTAAAGAAAGAGAATAAGAAACCAATCCAACAAAACGTCATGTACTGTACGTCATGTACTGTACGTCATGTACTGTACGTCATGCGTGTATTCTTCACATGTGCGATGTCCTAAATCATCTTCCTGTTCTTTAAAAACATCTTCTTGTCTCTTGTGAAACATGAGATGTACAGACATGAGTGAAGCGGCTTCTCTCGGAGGAGGCGCCAGAGTTCAAGGCTTTTTGTATGAAGTCATTTCATCGTGGGGACAGGGGGCACCGTGATACACTCCAATAGAAGCGTCGTACAAAAACCTCTGCATCCTCACACAGCTGCACCGCGGAGCTGGGATCACAGTCTCTGCACCAATGTGGCTAGAGCCGGAGCCGGAGCCAGTATTGGAGACCACACAGGACCTGGTTGGGGTCACAGTTTGGCCACTTTTGGGAGAATCTATTGGTACATGAAATTAAAAAGAGCAGAATAACTGAGCAGTGAAGTGTGAGTTTTGATCTGCGTGAACTGCACTGTGACCTACTCTGAACCTGCTTACTTTGGACCAGGAACCAGGCTCACTGTTCTTGGTAAGTGCTACAATGTTTAAAATATATCTGGGATTATATTACATACAATTATGGTGTTAGTAACTCCACGTAAATGGGAAGTATAGTGCCAATGAACGATGGTATAGGACCATTTTGCTTTGTAACGGTTCACTGTGACAATCAAGCCGAAGCTTACTTTGGGACTGGAACAAAGCTGACAGTGTTGGGTGAGTACATACTATGAAATATTTATAATTTACATAGTATAGTGAGAAGAACTGAAGTTTGAGGAGGCGGTTCTTCTGAGGATTTTTGCTATCAAGCTTAAGCTCTGTGCCAACTATGAAGCATATTTCGGCCAAGGGACCAAGCTGACTGTTCTGGGTGAGTAGGAGAAATGATCCCTGGAGATTTAAAGGAATTGAACATTGTACATGTTTGTGGTACATAGCAGATTACATTTAGTTTGAGAAAGGCATTAGTTTCAGTGTTTTGGCAAAGGCTTAATGCACTGTGTTGGTACTGGCTCCGTGGCTTTCTTTGGTGGAGGAACCAAATTAACAGTTTTAGGTAAGACATTGTATCGTCTGATTGTGTCGTGAGTATTTCGGCTTGTAACACATTTTAATTGACTTATCTCTAAAACGAAAATAATTGCTCGAATAAGGTTTTCATGTGTGGAAACAACTCAAGCTCCATGCAGGTGCGACTGTGGTAAAAGTAGGTTTTTGCACAATTGAGTTACTCTGTGCTCTTACAACGAGGCTTACTTTGGAGCTGGAACCAAACTCACCGTTTTGGGTAAGAAAAAATAACTTGCAACTGTTGTAAATGACTTCTTATAAATGCTGTAATCCTCTTACTTTATTATATAAATGTTTTGATGTGTTTAGGCAGATCATTTCAGCGAGTGGAGTGTAGATATTATTTGGTTTTATACTTTGGGTAATGTTCCAAGCTTATATCATTATGAAAAAACAGTACTATGGAAATTACTAATCACGCTCATATAGTCTAAAAAGATTTTGCTGCTGATCGAATCATATAATTTAAATTTAAAAACTCCTAAAACACGCATTATTTGGTTTAACATTTTTGAAAATGTTGGTGTCAAAATGCGTATCTCATAAATTAAATCAGGAGAGTTGAGGTTTGACGCTGGTGCTGTGTCAGTGTGAACAGCTATGAACCAGCCTATTTTGGAGAAGGAACCAAATTAACTGTTTTAGGTAAGATATGTATCTTTAAATAATTCTGCAGTGTATTAAAAAGAAAAAAACGTTTACTATACATTATAAGTATGTATTTATAATTGGCTTCTTAATGGACAATTTTATTTGTATTCATTTTGTGCAAGAACCAGATTTTAAAGTTTCAAAGAACCATAAAAATCTACTGTTGGTTCTCTATTATAAAAGAAAAATCTAAACTATTTGGGATTTCATCTTGAATTACAAATGTATATTATCCGTAAAACATCTCAACTTGAAGGGTTGGTGAAATGGCAACTAAACAAAATAAAATTGTGATGAAAAAACAGTGAAACGTAACACAACTTTGTCCCATTTTCCAGTGAATAAAATAAAATAGTCAGGGTGAGCCCAAGCCTTTGATACTGTATTCTTGAGTGCAGAAAAGGACCAAGAGATCACTCCCCCCACAGTGGAAGTCTTTGCCCCGTCTGAGAAGGAGCGTCCGCAGAGAAGAGACGGACCCAAAGCCAAGACACTGGTGTGTGTGGCCAGAGACTTCTACCCGGATCATGTGACCGTGTCCTGGCAGGTAAAGAGGACACTTAACATTTCAGTGGTCACGGAAAAATTATTTCTATTGTTAATTTAGTGTTTTAAACAAAGAGTAAATATTTCCCTTATTTACCGGTAATTAGGCTCCCCGTTTGTCAACTTAAAATCTGCTCTTCCTCTAGTCCATTCCAAAAATAATCTCAACCAGTAATTCATAATACACACATTTACTACACAATACACAATATTATAAGTGTCCATTACATCGAAAGCGTATAACCTTCTGTCTTATATAAAGTCCAAATATGGGTTTTGGGGTCTATATTGTCCAGTAAATGCAGTGGTGACTATGGCTTAAAAACAGCCCTCCGACCAATGTTTTGAAAAAACAAATTGGAAACTTTAACTCAAATGTAACTTTTGTTGAAAGATTCTCAGCCCTGAGTTAACAATAGCAATGATCAAAATTGGATTGATGGTAGTTGATTCCTCGCTGTATCCCTTCTTTTTTTAAGGTCAACAAAGATTCCAGAGTACACGGGGTATCTACAGACACTGAGCCCCAGAGGCAAGGCAAGAAATACACCATCAGCAGCCGCCTCAGGGTGACAGTGGAAGAGTGGACACAGCCAGACAACATTTTCACCTGCATCGTGAGCTTCTTTGACGGGCGAGAGAACCAAGTTATCAAAGACAATATTCGGGGCATCAAGAGTAAGGCCAAATCATTTCTAATTAAATTGAAAGAAGAAAATAATCTATTCTTAATCTGTATTCTCCTCAGAACAAGAAGACAATAGCTGGACTAGAGGTACATTATTGAATTAATTATCTCTGTTGTATTTTTTATTATGAAAACACATTCCCACCAGTGGATCAGCAAGTGGAGAGGACAAGTTGTATTTTTGACATGGTTTTACCTTTTCATTGTCAAAAATATAGCAGCCATAATGATACATTTTGAAGAACATATCTAATTAATTACAGTGTTTCCCACAGGTTTGAAGGCAATGTGTGGTGGTCATCGGCGGTGTCAATTAACAATGACATCGTTAATTGGTCAAATACAGCTTTATTGGACTGATCAAAATATCAAACATTATTCACACGCTGTATATTACACTATAAATACTGTTAACGCTGTATAAACCTACTTGTTGCAAAAAATAACATTATTCACACGCTGTATAAACACTATATTACACTATAAATACTGTTAACGCTGTATAAACCTACTTGTTGCAAAGTTTGCATGTTTTATCAGAGCACCTGATTTTTCGGGGCTGGCAAAAAAAAGATTTTAATGCCATATCATAAGGGAAGTCCTCAGGACAGGGTCCATTGATGGAGTTTGTTCCTGAGGTCTGTTTTCACCTGGAGATAAAGCAAAATGATAAATTATTATCAATGCAAAATGCACCAATATAAAGACAATGGGAATTTTTTATTGCTATTACCCTGTTCATTGCAGAGAAATCCCGTTCACAGTTCACAGAGGAAACAGGGATAACCAAAGCAATGCTTGCCAGAAGAACAACTTATATAGCTAATTACACTGCGGACTGTTTCAGACCGATACCTCTGGTTCAGGCTGATCCTCATCCTCAACGCGTGTCTTTTTCAATCGCGGAAAATATTGTTCAATACTCATCTGGATTGAAGCAGCAAACATTCAGTGTAAGAGTAAAAAAATGACATAAAGTTACTTATAACTTTATTTCTTTGCTACAGCTGCTACATAGTGTTTTGACCCCGACAACCCAACTACATACCGCAAACTTGCGACTAATGAACTTTATAAAGAAAGCGTCATCGCTTGTTAAGGGAGTCGGGACGGAAATTCAACATTGACACTGAACATTCAGCACTTTTTAATGTGTGATTTACGAGATCACGGGATACCAACCTTTAGTGAACTTCACCAGCCGTCTTCTCTGCACCAAAATTAATAGACACAGCTGCTTACAGCGATGATCGCTGATGGAGACGGAGACACGCGGTGTGCACGAAGGGGAGGGGCTGTGTGTGTGTAGGTCTCTGTATGTGGGAGAGACGTAGCTTGAGTGAGAGTTACGAAGGGCCGCCACATTTTAAACCCCCCTCCCCGCTGTCAAATTGACCGCTGCGGCGGCACTAGACGATGCATGTTTTAACCCTTTAAGCGCCAGAGGTTTTTTCCAAAACGCTCAATTTTGACATCTTAATTTCAAAAGGCTATAACTTAAAAGTGATAAGAGATAAAGGCTTTCTGTAAATTAGAAAAATATAAAGGATGGTCCAAAGTTTATGTAGAGAATAAATCCCCCCATCTAATTAGCATATTATGACGTCATTTGGCGTTAGAAATAGTGGATTTTAGAATTTTCATACAATATTTGTATTTTTCTAACTGACAGACATATATTTATCACTAGAACATAAACACACACAGAGCACACACTGTAACATTGTAAATGTTCATGAAAATAGTAAAAAAATATAAATCATGATGCTGCTGTGAGCAGTCTGCCCAGACGCGCGCGTCACCGCGACCCTGCTGCTGCAGCTGTCTCCCCCACTCTCTCTCTCATCTCCCCTGCTCTCTCTCATCTAACACACACAAGACAAGGCTTCTACAACACATTACTGTCCCGGTGATTACGTGAGGCTTGAAAATAAATATGTGGGAAGCACTTTTAGCGGAGACTTTGGCGGAAACTTCAGCGGAGGCGGGAGGTCGCGGCGCCCCGACCCGAGTTCCAGGCTTGTTTTCCGCAAATCTAACCTGTCTCCGAACCTCCCAATGACTTTGCCTTACTCTGAGAAACACTATTCCCACTGCAGACCCTGTGCAAAGTGTCTAAAGTTAGTGTTTGGTGCGGTACAACACTCGCAGGCTGCCCCGCAGCTGCATTCGCTTCGCTATGATTTCAGCACTGGTTCAACGCGGTCTTGCTCGAATATTTTGTATAGGAGCATGACGTTTTTTGGGGCCAGGGAGGTAGTCTGACATGTCTGCCAACTAGTGGCAGGGAGTATGAATGAATTTTGACACTCAGTTGGTCACACTCGGCCGTTTTTAACAGTACCGCAGCTTGTCGACTTAAGTCGACCGTGGCGCCTAGAGGGTTAAATAGCGTAACAAAAAAAATATATATATAATAATACGAAACGCAATTTGTGGCGGGCGGTCTCTAATCTGTGGCGGTGCGCCACAGATTAGTCTATGTGTGGGAAACACTGAATTATGTCCATTGCCACATGAGCTGCACATTATAAATACATCCATCCTCTATGGTCACTGATTATTGGACAAAGGCTAAGATGGCACTTCATTTATTAAGCTTTAAAAGTGGCATCATCTGTCCTTTCCTGACTGTGAACAAGCCCAGGACCCTATCAGAGGAAATAATTATCAGTTCATTAAAAGAAGCTACAGGCGTTAACTGAAGGTGCTGAAACCTTTACTTTTTCTATTTATATATATTTGATCTTCCAAATATCAATGTTTTATATTTCAAATATAAAATCATAGCAAATTCTATATATTATATAATTATACATTATTTGTGGCTCATGCCTTTCGGAGATGATCAGTCAGTCTTCTCTCTTCACGGTAAAAGATGTGATCTGGGGTGTCCAAACTTTCACAGCCCACATATTGACAGATGTTTTCATCAGGGCTAACGTTTGTGTTTGTTTTCTGTTAGATACATAACTTATAACCATGATATTTTAAGTTTTTAACTAGAGCAATTTAGAGTGTCAAAAATAGTTGAAACTCATGTATTTCTGATGTTGGAAAATCAAAGTCAGAAGTATTTATTTTGAATTGAGGACTATGTATATAAATACAAATTAAAAAACTGTTTGTGTTTGTTACTCCTCAGAGGAATATCTGAAGATGACCCAACATGCAAAACTGTCCTACACCCTCTTAATTGCCAAAGGTGTCGTCTACGGGCTCTTTGTGGCTTTTCTGATCTGGAGGGTTCAGGTAATATTAAAATATGTTTGTTTTTTACTTTCAGTGACCTCATTATGTGCTGTTCTGTTTCAGGCTTTAAATGGAAAACAAACCTGAGCAGTGCTGAGTAAACTGACATGTTTTAAATGTGTTTAATATAATCTGACCAACACGAGCAAAGCACATCTTACAGAGATCCTTTAGTGAGACAAAAGTGTCAAATGTGTTGGGTATATTTCTTCACACATATTTTCTTGTATTTATTTGTTCTGTGTAGTACAAAAGTCTGTAACCATTATTACATTTTGTGATCATATCAATGCTACTGCTTTTTCTATCCTCCCATATTCTGAATTTGAGTGCTTCATAAATTCCTACTGCTTTGGAACTGGAACAAAGTGCATTGTAAATAAAGTAAATTGAAAAGAAATCTCTTTCCCTAAACAATATCAGGATTATTTTCTTGCTGTGTTATTTACAGTACTTAGTGTAAATCAAGCTATACTTTATTTTCCCTGTGGAGATTTTAAAATAAGATTAAGTGTTGATACAATGTCCTGATAAAATGTCTTAAAATGGTTTGTTGCACTTAGGGAAGGAGCTTAAGTATCTTTCTAATCATTTTTGACACATTATCCAACAAGGAAAACATGGAAACACCAACATGCATCTTTTTGGGGTTTGTTTAAAATAAAATACCAATAAAACGACCAAAGCATGCAAAGACCCAGAAGAGAACAGCATTACAGCCACAACATGACAGGAAATACGTCTGTTTTCAAACCAGGTTACCGCCGGTTGTTGGTGCGACAGGAAACAAGTCGCGGTCTTAACATTTGAAAAACTGTAACCACAAGCCACTGCACCTGCAAACATTTAGTTACTTTTGCAGATTTCTGGTGCAGTAGTCACTAAGATTCCAACTTGATCAGAGAAACATCTGACAGAAGAACAGGCTGGGTTATTACATGACTTTTTACAAACTTAATAAAAGTCTATTGCAGATGCTTTGGTATTCCAAAGCTGAACCCTGAACGCTCTGAAAGCAGCAGAATAATCATACGATTAAAGGACTTCCTGTTTCCATCTCTTGTTCTGATATTTAGACCTCGCCTCAGCAGTCATCATACAGTTTACAGAAACATATGACGGCAATTCTTATAGTAATGAAATAAAAGTATACAGTCAATTATCTATTTATTTACTTATCTTTGATCTTATTGCCAGTTACATTTTCTCTTGATCAAAGAAATATTCATTATTATGAGGAAGATTTGGATAATGTGTATATTCAGAAAGTAACTGGAAATAAGTGGCTGCTCAGTGGTTGCTCTGTGGTTCTGTCTGTTTCCATAAAGGTTACAGCATGGTATTTACATGAATCAAAGATTAAATACATGTTGTATGACATTATGAAGAGTGGGTGTATGTTTCCTATTCCAACAAGATACCCAGAGGCTGTCCACAAGAATCAGGCAATTTATGTATTGCTCAATTGTTTTACTATGGACAAAATAAACAGGATTTAAGCATCTTATATGTTTTAACAAAACATGTAAAGCGTAATTCCACAAAAAATAGCAGCCTGAATATGTTTCTGTTTCAACCTAATCAATGCACAAATTTGCAGAGCTCTAGGTTATAACTTGTAACGACCAATGAAATCATACCACTTCTGTTTTTGAGGATGGAATGTCTAACCGAAGACAGTATATACCACCGCCTCAATGAACGACTGAGGTATAGTAACATTTATGAAGTGCAAAGAGCGACATCTAGTGGGCACCTTTATAACTACAAATATGAAAACATGATTTGAGAGCAATTCTAAAAAGGTAATCAAAACAAACCAGTTTAATCATAATTAATAAAATGCTACGATGAAACTAAAATAGGATTAAAAAAACGGATGATAGAAGGAAAAGTAAACACCTGCACTCCCTGCTTTGTCCACTAGATGTCCCTACTGCACCTGTGTGTGGTCTGTCCCAGCCTCAGCCCTCTTGTAAAAACACTGAATTATCCATTGTGAATCTTTGTCTGTGGTGGAGTTTAAGGACAGGAAAACGAACCATAATGTGTTTTAATGTGTCCATCAGTGGCTTCTGTGGTTGATTGTGCTTTCACCAGGGAGACGACGCTTTAATCACGGCTGGAGTGACGCGCAATAAACTGCACCGTAGAAAAGGGGCAGTAAACACCTCACATACAGCTTCAGGGTTTACGGCTTCTACACAAATGACCTGTGCTTCTGCTCTAGTTTGGATTCCAAAGCAAACACTTTAAAATAATAATATTGACATCCCTAGTTTAAAGCCAAAGTTTTCATTGCCATACAGTATATGCAAGTCTAGCCATAACAAAGCAACATAATGTGACTTCAAATCAACCATTTATGTTTGTGTGTGTGTTGGGGTAACCAACTTTCTATCCTCACAAACATCAACTATAGTTCCTGCATGGCTCTAAAATGGTTTGGTTCTATCACTAGTTTTCACATGCATGTAAGCTTGGCCTTTGTCACATCTTTAGATCAGCTTTGTTTGGCAGAGGACCACCCTCACTCAACCAATCAGCTCTCAGCTCAAAGCGTCACACAGGGCTATGCAAAGATAACATGTTTCATTTACAATAAAGATAGAATGTTGTGACCTGATCTATTCATATTTTCAGATCTATTCACAATTCAGATTCAGAGGCAATTCAGGGGAAATTTGTTTGAGCAGCACAGGGCATAAAAACATTGAAAACACATAAAAACATAGGAAATATATGAAGTGGTATGAAGTGGGGTCCCATACAAACATATGAACATAATACAACCATATAGCTCTAAAGCCAAAGTCCATATCACCAACAAGCTACGGAGAGTTCTGCAGTCTAATAGCGGTTGGGACAAAAGATTTTAAGTGACGATTGGTTTTACAATATGCTGCAACCATAACATCTTCCTGATAGAAGCAAAGTGAACTCATCATTCATTTGTGTGGGGACAAACAATATGGATTATTTATGAGGGAAAGGGAAGGTACCCCAACTTTAACCTTATTAAGCCGTTGTTATCACAGTCTAGTTACCTATAGCTTTGAGTTGATAAATTGTTATCCATTGGAGCTGGGTTAATTTCTCTAAAATTGAAATGATGAGATCCCTTGTGTTCATGACATGTTTAAAACCCATACACTCAATATTGACTCAATGTAATTGCAAATAATAATAATATCCATCCATCCATCCATTTTCTTCCCCTTAATCCATTTCTGGGTCGGGGGGGTGGCAGTCAGAGCTGCACCCAGTACACTCAGCACCAGCCCCTCACTGATCCTCCTGCAGGTGGTGAGTCCACAGGAGCAATATAATATAATAATAATAATAATAATAAAATCACTCCAAAATCACACAATGATAGCTATTTTTTCCAACACTAATATCGCCTCCCCGACAGACCCATGTGGGTGATAAACGTGTTTGTGAATCTTGCCCCTGACAGAAGCTGTGTGGGGCCTATGTGTACCTGCTCTTCATGCTGGTGGCAGTCGTGGCCTTCTCTTTCACTCTGCTCCGATTGCCTGAGACCAAGGGACGAACATTTGACGACATTGCAGAGGAGTTCAGAGGAGCAGACGAAATCCCACTCAACAAGACCGGCTTCAACACTTTCAACTGAACCAGACTCTGCCGCCAATTTCAACTGTTGCCGCAAACATCAAATTAGCTCATTGTAAATGTGTATTGACCAGGCCCGGACTGGCCATCGGGAGCATCGGGAGATCTCCCGGTGGCCTGCGTGTCAAAGTGGCCTGGGCCTGCCCTATCATCACGGTCTTTTTTTCTTTTTTTTTTTTTCTTCTTTCTTTTAATTTAATTTCATCCTCACGGTCTTTGCAAACTCCTACCCTGCCTGGTGGCCTGGTCCAATGAGCAAGGCCCAGGCCAAAGCCAGTGTTGTGCGTGAACGAGTTCAAAAGAACGCGTTCATTGAACACGCTCATTTTTTCGTGAAACGTTGAACACATTTTTTAATAAATAACTTGAACGTGAATTAGTTCATATTATGTGTCATGAACGGCAGACAATTTGTTTTCCATTTAAAACTGAGTGAAATCTGTTTTCTCTTTTGAAACGCAACGAGAGAAAGTTCCTCCCTCCTGTATTCTCCGCACTGTTTCCGCCGAAAACTAAAAATTCCTACGGTTTCCACCGTCTGTGAACGCACCCCGACTCAGTGTACTTGCGGTGCGGCGCTATATGCTAGTGCTATTCATTGGTTGTTGGACTCACATGTGCCGTGATGAAAACACAGGGGTAAGTCAGTGACACAGGGCCGTTTACATTTGACATAAAGTATAGACACACGTTCTGCAGCGCATTACAGTTTGTACTTATGAGCAGAGATGGGACAACTCAGTTCCCATTGAAACCCATGTAAATCTTGTCTGCATTGGAGTCAAAACATCCTGTGCAGTGTACAGGATATAATATATATATATATATATACCACGTATTGTGATTTCTAGCTCGTAGTGAAAAAAAAATATTTATTTGAATATCTCGCAAAAAGTAAAATGAACTGAACTTTGAACTAGTTCAGAATAAAAATTGAGAACTTCGAACGTGAACTGTTCACTTTGAGCATGTATGAACTGAACTTGAACTTGTTCAGAAAAGCTGTGAACTGGCACAACACTGGCCAAAGCTTTACTGTCATTGGGCCAGAGCAAAATTAAACAAATGTGACGTCACACGTCGGCTACACAGCCAGGCCAGCCTAGCAGTGCACCCAGTGTAGCTTCCCCGGTTGAAATGAGTGGTCTCTCCAACTGATGGTTCATACACGTTGTTATTTTTCCTTTTATATGAGCTGTAACGATGTGATTTTACCTTACTACTTTTTTAACAATAATTGATTAGCTTGTTATAGTTATACACTAATGAACACTTAGTTCATTGTGTGTGTGTGTGTGTGTGTGTGTGTGTGTCTTTATTCTCACTAAACTCCATAAACGTTACGTTGCTAAGCAACGTACAACAATCTTTAAACGTCCGAGATTATATAAACAGTCAATATAAAAAGAAATAAAGAAAACAAAAGTTTTGACAGTCAATCTTAAAACTATTAAAAGAACATCAAAATACAATGACAAAAACCCAAATTTAGAACCTTGTTTGGCCTGAATGGATGAAAAGCTCCCGGCCTGAAATGTTGTCCCACTCCGGCCCTGGTATTGACTAAGCAGTATTTATCATGATTTGAGTGTATTTTTAATGTTTTAAATCATAATGGCTGATAGAAGAAGGAGTCCAGTTTTAATTTCAAACGCTGCAGCAAAAACAATCTTAAAAGTTCTCAATAAAAAAGTTGTCAATTGAAGATACCGGTGAAACAGGTAAATTAAAAAAGGATTAAAAACATCTATTTACCCGTTTCAAATCTCCACTTAATTCAAAAATCAGTTTTCTTTCAAACTAATGACACATTTTAAGTTAAATAATAGAAATGAATGAACGAGATTATAATGTTCCGAGTTTTACCTGTAAATACAACTTACTTCACAGAAATCATGCAGTTTTTTTCACCTTCCCTCAGATATGAATTCTGTACGCATCAAAACAACTATTGATAAGTTTATCGAGCGAGGTCACCATACAGGAGGCACATGTCAGAACTATTGTTGTTTTTAGTGGTGGGGGAAACCGGAGCACCCGGAGGAAACCTACGCACATTAGAACAGGCTTGAATATTGAATGTAAAAGATATTGTATACACAGATTATCATTTACTTTGTGCTTTGTATCTGTAACCAGCTCCTGTCATCTCACCACGAAAATATTCATTTTTAATTATTTTAAATATTTATTTCCAACTTGGATTTTTCACACAGCATAAAACAAACGAGATACAGAAGTAGTTTGAAAATGGGTTGAACGAAAAAAATGATAATTGGGCTTTAACCTCTCTCTTGCTCACGCACACACACACACACACACACACACATACACGTTTTTGTTACCTGGTGGGTCCCTTTGACAGGGCCGTTCAGAATGGGACCCATAGACATAATCTTTTTTTACTGGGACTACTTTAAGTAATACAAAACAGTCAATAGAAACCAAACAACTATTTTAAAGGAATTTTATTTTAGATTTTGTTTTCGAATTGCAGTGATTCTATTTTTGACATAGAATTTAATGCCACTCCATGTCCGATGTCTAAGGTCATCTGGTGAGGCATTAATGCAGGCCAGGCAGTGAGACTTCCCAGGGACCTTTCCAGTCTGTATGAAAGGTGTCATGGTCTTCTCCACAGCCTTCACCTCAGATGCAGACCATGGCTTTCTTACACGTTCTAGGGAGAGAAATAAAAATATATTAGCAATATACACTCCCAGGGTTAGGACCAAGCAGCCTGGCTGTAATCCCCCACCTGGTACACTTACCAGAAGGGGCACTGCCACTACCATGGGGTGCATCTGGATGAATGGTTGAAGGTTCTCCGCTTGAAGTTTCTTTTAGCCCGTCCGTTTGTGAGAGGATCTCTACTGCTCTCCCTGTCGCACAGAAAATAAAAATACAAGTGGCCTTTAGGGGAAAAAAATCATACATATTTTAATAATATCAAGAATTTCCTTCAGGCTCAATTTGTATCTGGTCGAGGCTCTTTCCTTCGAATTCCGTCACTCTTCCCTGCTCCATGGCCATCAACACTTTGCTGATTTTGGCCAGCTCCAGTGTCCCCTCTGGTAGTCTGTAATATTGCCTGTGGATGCGAATGTCATGGCCGAGGAAGTTGGCAAGTATGTCCATCTCATTCTCTTTCATATTGAGAACTGTAGACATAGTAGCTATGTGCTTTCTAAGTTTGGTTGAGGATAGCATCTCTGGATGCACCGCACCACATTCTTTGGCTACCTGGCGTAGGGAGTCTGATCCCCTGATGTGGGTGTCTGCGCCCGGGCGGGAAAAGAAGTATGGGTTATGGTCAGAGATGGAACAGGCCCTTCTGTTCTCCACCAGCACCTCCATCGAAGCAATCATTTCAGGAGTCAAAAGAACCGGCACTTTCCGACTTCTTTTCCCTTTAATTTCAATGCGTTGAAAATGCTGACACAGCTTTTTCTCAAGTTGGGACAGTCCCAGAGCAATGTCAGAATGGATCCCAGTCTTACTTCTTAAGGTAAAGGCATGTCAGTGGCATCTTTGAAACCTCACCTTCCCTTCTTCGATTGAAAATGATGACCTCACAAAGAGTCAAAACTGCCAGTTTAGACCAATGCTTAGACGTTGGCTCACTTATTAGGGTTTGCACATATTCAGGTCGACATACCTCAATATGTGCATGCATGGCTCTAACGTCCTCAGTCAGAGGGAGCAGGTCCGGAGTGTTCCATTTGGCTTGCCGGAGGGTCTGTAGGGCAGCAGAAGAAACACAGACGTCCCACCTCTTCTCAAAAAGCAGCCGGCTTCGTTGGAGGTTTTTAATAAATAGTTCATCAACACAATGCTCCATTTTTGAGTCACATTCAAGAATATCTGCTAGCTTTCTGAGGCTATGGCCGAGTTTGAGGGCCAAGGATGGAGTCTTGTATTGATTTGTTTCCTCATCATATCCAGCCACAGACCTGACTGCATCAATCACATGGTTAAAGTTGGAAGGAATAAAGAAATCCTTAATTGTTTTCAGTTTCCCTGCGGTTTTTGCTTCGTTAATTAACCTACCGACTTCTCTCATTTTCTGCCTAATGTAATCATGCTTAGTCTTATCATGCCCGTGTTTTAAGTACAGGTGCTCTCCGAGTCTCAGAATCCCCTTTTCTGCTTTGACAACACCCGTGACCTCATCCTGATGCATTGCCGAAATTAAAGACCACAGCTTTTTGCTGATGCCCTCCGGTACAGGCTGGGCTAGGGAGCAGAGGGACTGGACCCTACTTCTACCTGGTTTAGCCTGGGCATCTTTCTGTGAAAGCCGGCACCTGGCCACATGCCTCCACAGCGACTTTCGCTTAAGCAATGCCCCACAGTCTATACAGTGCAAAAACTCACTGGATTTAACTGGGGAATTTGGCTGTTTAGCTGGGACTAAAGTTCCAATGCCGGCCTTTAAAACCTCAAAATTGTGCTCACGGTTTCCACTATTCCTGATCAAATCAAACTGAAGTTTACGTGCTTTAGACTTCACAGGTAGAGCCAATGCTCTGGCTACGTCACTTTCATTTCCATGTTTTCTAGTCAAATGACGGGACATTTTGTGGCAGGACATTGAACAGTAGAGGCAGAAGTGTCTCTTGCTGTAAACCCTGCCCCCATTTTTCTTCTTTTGCAGCTGCATGATAACAATCTTATTTGCCTTTGGTTCGTCACTTTCCGAGTCTTGAAGAAAAGTGTTTTTGATTTTTCTTTTTCCATACTTTTTTACAGGTTTCTTCTTGACAGTTAAATCGTCAGAATCTGAGTCGACTTCATCAATTAGGGACTCTTGACTAAGCTGCACAAACAACAAATAATTTGTAATAATTCTATATAACAATTTGAAGTCATGACTTGTAGTCAGCACTTACCAGTGGGTTGTAAGCGTGCGCTTCAGTGTGCTCCTCCATGATGTCTTGCAGCCTAATGTCCACACACTTGCACCTTTTCACCTGACTTCCTCTGTTGTGCTGCTCCATGATTGGCTCCAGCCTGCTGGACTGAAATTGCCCCAGTGTGCCCCTCCCTGATATCCCGCAACCCACCACCAGGGTTCCGACACATAACACACTTTTTTCAGGAAAGTAAACCTCCAGGGGTCCTTTCCATATTTTTACAGAGACTGCATAAGGACCGTTAGAAAAGCATTACCCATTGATTATTAAGCTTGGACCAGTGGGGTCCGGTGTTCGGGCCCCACCACGTAAAACCAGTCCCCATGACGTGAGTGGAATCTCAGGTTATGGAACCCACTAGGAGTTGAAAACAAGTGCACACACACACACACACACACACACGCACACACACACACACACGCAAACGCACACGCACACACACACACACACACACACACACTGCAGTTTTCAACCTCAGCACTGGGAGGAGCTAAAACCTGCTTTGAGCTTTAATAAGTAGAGCTGTTCATTGAGCATGCTGAACTCCGAACAGCTACAGACACTTCAGAATCATGTTAATGCGTTACGTTTTCTTAAGTTTTCTCATTTACGGAACTACAGGTAAGAAAACAACATATATTTAAAAATGCTGAGAAATATGCAAGTTTTTTGGGTAATCAGTCATATGTTTTTCCCCAAAGCTGAACAGACAGTGTTCCAAACTCCTCTTGGAGTGATCCAATCCGCTGGTCAATTTACTGTCAAAATGCAATGTTTCCATAAAGACAACAATTATGAGCAAATTCTCTGGTACAAGCAAGATAAAAGTGGAAACTATAGATTCCTGGGCATCCTGAACGTCCACAAAGCCTTCCCAGAGGACGATCTCACCGAGCGCATTGGCTTCAGTGGAAATGGCCGCTCTGGTGGCACTCTCTCCATAGAGAATGTGACCGTGGAGGACTCTGGAGTGTATTTCTGTGCAGCCAGACGACACGGTGCTGCAGATCCTTTTAAAAGCCTCACAAAAACCTCCCCCAAATGTGATGATCAGAGCACCTGCAAACAGCAAAACCACAGCTCAACTCAAATGAACCCAATGCAAACTGCTGGGACTTCCACCACAGCAGACGGCATGTGTGCCAGACTCCACAGAACAGATAGACTAACTTTACCCCCGTCATGCACTGTTTATATCATTCATTAACTTTACCTCAAAATGTAATCTTACTATCCCACAAGAGGGAGGCAGTTGTTAAAAAATGACACTTCCAAATGCATTTACATTGCATATAATACATCCACACTCACTGCAGTCACACAAATATGATCCTGTTATTTCTTTTGATAGTGCATGGCAGAAAAAAGTAAGTATTCAAAAGCACATATTTACCATCTTTGTGTCACTATGTTTACATGTTTCAAACTTCTCAAAAAAATGTCAAGTTCCCGAATCAAAAAACAGTATAAATGAGTTTAAATGCTCTTGTCCAAAACCCAACTATGATCGCACACGTCGATGGTACGAACAGGAGAGAAATGGAGCCAAAGCATTTTATTATGTAGAACAAAAGATGCTGTTGAAGACAAGATAAATATGGAAGAGTAGATATTTCAAGTATAAGGCTTTACATTTTAAATCTCACTGTAAAAGATACTGCTGTGTATTATTGTAGTACGGCCCAATTATAGAACCGTTGTGTTGAGTTTGTGAGCAGTGAACACCTGCGGAAATACACCACAACAGTTTTTGTACGGTGTAAAGTCAAACGAGGTTACATTCGACAAAAGCATGGACGTGTTACTGTTATTTTTATAGTATTTACTTTGAACATAATTGAATAATATGCACACTTACGATATTTAAATAACTAGCAATGAATGTGCAATGATCCAAAACATACACTGAGAGTTTAAAGATAGTTACGAATTTTTGCAATATTTTCAAAGTTGGTTTATAGTCAAAATTAACTTCAAAACAGCTAACTTAAATTGAAATAGATATTTTCCTTTATATTTTATATTTTCATTTCATTTTATTGGATGCTAAAGTTAACATATTCAACTTGGTTCAAATCATGGCCAACTCTCATTCATTTTAATTTCACACCATGTTATCAATCATTTACCTGTCTATAAATAAATCCATTTGTCCCCGCCCCATACACACACGCTCCTTCCTCATTGGACAATTCCTCGCTGTACTTATTGTATCTCGAAGCAGATTTTTCCATTTCAAACGTTCGTCATAAAAAGAGAAAGATGGCCATTGTGTTGATTTTATCTTTTTATATCAGTCTGGTTTCAGGTACGACTCCATGATAAAAAGCATTGAACAAGTGTGTATATTCTTTCATTGCTAAACTATGATTTGTTCTGTAGGTTTCTCTCTAAATGACCAGGTCCATCAGTCTCCGAAGGACTTATACAATACAAATGGAGCCAGTGCTGAAGTGAAATGTTCCCATGACATTCAAAATTTCGACCGGATCCTTTGGTACAAGCAGATGCGTAACGGACAGATGCAGTTTCTTGGTTACATGCTGGACACTCTGACAAGTACAGAGTCTGAGGCCAAAGTGCAAATGAGCGGAAGTGCAAGCAAAGGACAGACGTCCATTTTGACCATCGAGGAGCCGAGCAGTGCTGTGTACTACTGTGCTGCTTCTCTCACAGTGAGGAAAAGCCCGGATTCTCGAGACAAAAACCACTCTGAATTAGCAGTTTGATATGTTCCACTTGGTCCTGCCCACTTTCCATGTGTAGACTTCTTACGATATATGCCGCTGAATAACACTCTAGATCCCAATTTGCAACCTCTACTGTCAAGTTAGGAATGACAGATGGAAACAAGCATTTATGCAATAATTTACACTGTGTTTACAGATGGTCACTAATGTGACAGGTCACAAATAAAATGAGGATTAGATTCACTATCACTATTGATTTTACAAGTGTTTCTAACAAGTAAATCATGAACAATAGGAGGAGAAATTAGTTATGCACACATCAAACAAGGTCTATTATTTTAGGTAATTTTAGATATAAAAGATTAAAGCTAATACACTCTGGAAGTATAATTGCACTTGGGATTATTATTGAATTGCAAATAAATTCTTTTCATATATGTTCATTTACTGAAGATATTTGTAACACATTAGTGCTGGTAAACCTCTGCACCTCTGCACCTTCTCCATCCACTCCCACTGATGACTGCTGTCATTGTGTCCTTGGGCAAGACACTTCACCCTACTTTGCCCAAAGCCCCCACTGAAAGATCAAGGCCATGCTCACACTCAGAGAGCAGCCGTCCTCCTGTGGACTCACCACCTGCAGAGGGTCAGTGAGGGGCTGGTGCTATGAGACTTGGGTGGCATCTCTGACTGCCACCCCCCTGACCCAGAAATGGATTAAAAGGGTAGAAGATGGATGGATGGATGGATAGTGCTGGTAAACTGTTAGTGACAACGTCTTCTATGGTCAATACATTGTACAGACAAAGAAGCTTTTACAGCTTGAACTATATCTTTTTGACTTGGCCTTAAAGTTCACAGTATCAGTAATTCGTCAATATCAAACCTTTTACATAGTACTTTACATGTTGATTTTATGAAACAAAATAGTAATTACAAACATTTACAAATTCAGAACCTCAGGAACCAGTGAAGAAGGTTTCTCTGTAGCTCCTATAGGTGGCACTGAAGTCTCAGGAACACCACTCTGCATCTCTTACTTTTGATTAAAAAAGAGGCTCAATCCCTCCGGTCTCAGTAGATAAAATCTCTCAGACCAGTCAACATGTTTGCATTCATCTGCTTTTCACTTTTGGGCCTTTGTCTCTCTGTTGAGGTCCAGCAGACTCCACTCGCTTTCATCACAAATCCAGGAGAACAGATCCAAGTATTCTGCAGCCATTCGAGAGGGGACTACACCCTGATGCGATGGTACCAAAAGCAACCTGGAGACCTGTCCCTTAAATTCATTGGATATCTAAGCTACGGCAACAAAGTCTACGAGGAAGCCTTTAAGCAACATTTCACATTTAGTGGAGATTTGAGTGGGGACAGAGCCAAGAACGCTTCCATGTCGATCACCAACATACGCACAGAGCATAGTGCCATTTATTACTGTGCAGCGAGCTATGCACATTGATTTCATGTTCTGTCATCATTGTACAAAAACATTTAGTGGTTTTGAATTAGAAATGATACAAGCCCCGCCCATCACAGCTGCCAGATCCTTCCTTATAATACCGCCTTCTCTAATTCTTTGCAACCGAGGGATGATGCTTATTGAACAACACCAATGGCCCCAATGAAGTACCTTGGATTTATTCTGTTTCTCACAGGTGACTAAGGTTATTATTATTTACTGCACTGGTAAAGGTAACACACAAAGTAATTATTCCATCTTAATTGAGTGCTATTTGGTGTTGTAGAGTTCATTCAATTTAGTGCTGTTTATTATTTACTTATTATTGGGTTTTTCATAGGTCCAATGTGTATGAGGATGTTATTGTTTCGCCTGTACCTGCCTACTGTAAGAAAGTCCTCTTGCACCAGTTTAACTTGTATTTTATCTGATTTGACTGAAGCACTTTGTGACCTTGGTTTGTGAAAGGCTCTGGATAAATAAAGCTCACTTACTTACTTTATTTATTACTTACTCTATTTTAAGCCAAGCTTTCAAATGTATTACATTAACATTACTTTGTCCCCCTCGTCCTATTACAAATTACATAATAATGGTAATAATATTGCATCAGTTTTATATATGTATTTAATTTTTGGACACTCTAAGACGGTTCACATGGGATTATTTATTCACTCCATACACGCTGATAGAAGAGAGGCAACCACCAATCATTCACACGCACACACACAGACACAGACACACAGACAGACACACACACAGACACACACACAGACACACACAGACACCGGGTGTTCCCAAAGGTCTCCCATCACAGTACTAACCAGGCCCTGCCCTGCTTTGCTTGAGGTCTGACAGGATCTGTCTTTCACATGTAGGCGGCGCCACATAACCTAAACATTTCTGTCACATGATTTTGGCATCACTGAACCCCGACACTCTTCATTCTTCTGTCTTCCACTCCCCAAAGATGCATCTTTTTCTCTGCTTGTGCTATCTCACAGGTAGAGAATGATGACAACATTGTAATTACATTCATACAACTTATTATTATTTTTTTTTGCAGGGGTTTTGTTGGCTGTGTTTATCCATCAGTCTCCTCCATCAGTCTTGGTGGAAGTTGGTGCTGAGGTCTCTCTGACCTGCTCCCACAATCGCTCAGACTTCAGGGTGATGTTGTGGTTCCGCTCCAGGCCCAACGACACCGCACTGGATCTCATCGGGTACGGATACAACAAGTTCAATAACGACAGCGTGGAACAGCCATTCAAGGAAAACTTCAAACTGAAAGGAGATCTCAAGGCGAATGTGAAAAATGGCTTCCTGATTATCACAAACGCACAGACAGAAGACCACACTGCCACATATTACTGCGCAGCGAGAGAAGCACAGCGTTCTAAGATCCCACTGTGAGAGCACAAAACCTCAGTGGGGCTAATCTGATAAAGCTCCAGTAAATATCTGGGGAAGAATAAGGAACAACATGTGTTTGTGGCCACTGAAAAAGTATAGTGTCTCTACAGGATGAAAATGATGAAGAACATACTGTATATAGAATGGCCATACTTTGAAAAAGTACGAAAGATCTGAATATTCATTACTGTATATCACAAACGATCAAAAATAGGTAAATATTGTTATTGATATAAATACAGTTTACATCCCCAAGCAGAAATGTGAGAAATGCAAATCAAAACATTTACCGGTAACTCATTGAAGTTTGGAAGCAGAAACTACCCAAATGGCCCAGATTAGAAGTTTCTGTCCCCAGCTTGTATTGCCCCTCATGAATATATATCAGCGCAAAGTATTTAGTGGTAGTTCCTGTAAATTTCTGGGCCGCCTCGGATGAACTTCACTTGTTAACTCTCCACTCAACTCCATGATGTTCAAATTTTAAAATAGATGAGACAATTAATGCTTCAGAAAAACCATCATTGAGCAGTGGTACTACTGAAATGCAAACTCTATTGTATTCACTTTTCGCAGTAAGTAAGTAAACGTTAATTGTATAGGGCTTTATAGAGCAGACCAGTCTATCCTAAGCACGTTTTTCTGATATATTTGTTGACCAAATCTGCTTTTTATATCCTTCTAAATTAACTCATGACTTTGCATGTCAGACAGTGAAAGGAAGCCCTCCCATTGTTTTGCTCGCTCAAACTAGATCATGTCTGAATTCCTCAGTGCAAGAGACTGAAAACACACTCAGCTCTTTTTTCCCTCCTTATCTTTGCCATTCTCAAAAGGTACTCATTTGTGCATTATCTGCAAAATTATTTAACTAATTATAATTATTACACAAAGATGATGAGCAAACAACACAATCCCCCTCTGCTGTGCTGACAGACCCACAAACTCCAGTTCATTGGAAGTTTACGCACAAACTTCATGGCCGTGACACTGTTCTATGGTACCATCCGGGCACAGCTCACAGATCTGTGGGGTATCTGTACCACAAAGGCCCCATGCGAGAAGATCAATTTCAAAAACATTTTAACATAAGTGGCGATGCATCTAAGTTTTCCAGTTTCCACATCTTGAATTCGACAGATAGTAATAAAAATAATAATAATAAACTGTTTATTACGACACTGCTCTTTTCTATAACCTCTGTGAGCTTTCTCCACAAAAACTACACACAACCACTGTCCTCAAATGAACCTGAGGGACCATATGTGTACGATCCAAACACTTCATCTGCATGTGGCGCCACCTACAGGTACAAGCCAGATACCGTCAGACCTCAGAAAGTAAGCAGGATTGAGCCTGGTTAGTATTGTGATGGGAGACCTCGGGGAACACCACATTGAGGTGGGTGTTTTTAAGCAAGACACTTCTCCCACATTTCCATTGTCCGCTGTGTGTGTTAATGGTTGGTGGCGGTTGGACCAGTGTAGTATGTAAGAAGTTTTTTCATCAGATGTTATGGTCTGATTTTACTTTTACACTTCTGATGGGCCAAACAAAATGTTGTATTTATGAAAAAATAAGTTTAAACCATGGTATTAAAGTTCAGTAGTTTTTTTGCTGTAATGGGTGAACTGTCAGGTTTCTATAAAGAAACTAAAATAATCATTTGCAAAATCACAACACATTGTCTAAAAAGTTACTATTCGTTTTATGTCATTGTTTCTTTAGACCAGGGCTCTCCAGCCTGTAGCTCGTGAGCCACCAGTAGCTCACCACCAAAATCAGGCTTGTTGACACCGACATATCACCACATTTTTCCGAGGGCTGAGGAATAGCTCTCTGCCTTTATCATCCCGGTAAAGTAGCTATTAAGATGCTGGCTTGGACAAGTTTATGTGAAAGATCTGTAGCCTTAAGATTCTAATAAAACAATTACATAAGTCACAATGTCTGGCAGAGCTGAAGTGTATGAAGTTTGAACAGAACCAGGAAGTAAACTCTTATTGTAGCAGTGTGAAAGGGCAGCAGAACGGGATGCGGTCACAGCAGTTGCAAAACCCCAACTTCAACCATGACCACAAACCTATAACTCTTTAGCATTGGAAGCACCACACAAATACAGCTGCACTATACTGTATATCCTTCACGCTGTCTTAACAGAGGTTATTTTTACACATGAAAGTGCTTCTCAAACTGGTGAGAGCAAATTCAAATGTCCGTTGTTTATAGTTTTGTATTTTACTGTTTTGTATATTGTGTAGGCTCATTTTCATTTATTTTATTCAAAATTATAAGGGGTAGCTCAAATGGACATAAGAAGGTAGTTTTTAGGGCAATTTCGCATCCGCTGAAAGAAAGTCTTATTTTTTGCGTTTAAATCTATTTACATCTAAATTGAGTTTATATTAAACTGCAACAAAGAAGATTTCCCTCAATAGTGAAGATATACACAGAGTGATCCCCTCACATGGATACGGTAAGAATATGATCATTATTGTGCACTCCTACATGTTTCTCATGTATAATTCAACACTGTTATCTATAAAACTTTCAACCAGCCAATCACAAACGTCTCTTTGATCATTCAGCGAATCACAACTCTATCTCTCTCCATTTCTCTTTTGATGCAACAAAACGTCAGCCATGTTCACTTAAAAGCACCACTTACAGTGTACAGTACAATAAAGTAAAGTGTACAGTAAAACGAATAACCGGTATAGTATACCGGTTATTCGTTTTAGAGGCGAGTATGGATCATTTCAAACATTACCTTGTTTTTCTTCTCTCAATTTGTGGTAATTTTACATTAGTTCATTAACTGTTGATAAAAGACACATTTTATGATTGTATTACTGTTTTACTTTCAGGAGGTCAAACTGACTTGACACAGTGGACAGTGGCTGAAAACGTTCCATCTTTGCTCACAAGAGTTGGCGACAATGCAAAGATATACTGTGAAATCCTGGAGTTCCCTTGGTCACTGTCCAGGGTGCATTTCTTCAGACTGCGCCAAGAAGAAAGAAGCTTGGCACTGTTAGCACACCCCACTTGGAAAAATAAAAACAATAATATAGACTATAAAAAGTATCATATTGAAAAAGGTTTGACACAGTTAGAAATACAAGTGAATAGAGTGAGCAGAGAGGATGAGGCTGTGTATTTTTGCGCACCCAAGAGCACCACGGCGACACAGGAACTCAAAGCAGTCAAACAAAAATGACATCTGCAAACGTAAGCAAAGGACAGTATATTATTCTTTTTAATTTGAAATTACAGTACCAACATAAAACCATAATGCACCAATCTAAAATCATAACACATTCCAGAGTGTGAAATATTAAGTTTATATCTTGCAATTATGACTTCTTGTTTTATTTTTGAACACCACAGAGGTTGGCTTTTATACATTTTGCTATTCAATCAAAAAAAAAAAAAAAAATATTTGATGGGTTAGTTTAATGTGACTTGGGATGTTTTACTAATAGTTTTAGTAATACTGTCTGGGGACTCATTGTATTTACTTGTACATTGTAAACAGTGAATGAATGTGTCATGTTGATATAACTCTTTCTTTGTGTGAGAAATGCACCAGGGAGAATATTATGACCAAATAGACAATAAGACAAAAGAATTTAAGTTGGACGATTGTATTTTTTTGTTTCTTGGATGCAGCAATTGACCATTAAAACTGTTAAAAAAAATTGTCTTCCGTTGATTAGGCAGGCAAAAACATCCTTCAATAAAAGAAAGTGCCAAATGTATGAACACTAGGAGGCAGCCACTCATCAGATGTGTCATATTTATGCAGTCAGCAAAGCAGAGAATTTCCTCTCTTCTCAAACGGAATCAAGCAGGAAGACGCAGACATGGTCTCAAAGGCTACAGTGTTCATGGTGATGCTGGTTTGTCTAAATAAAAAAGGTAAGTCTTGAAATTAGGAGAGGGATTAAATGATTCAACTTAAATGTAAAAAGAAAATAAAAGTTGTTTTTACACAGGTCGGGCTACAGCTGAAGATGTTGTCCAGACAGACATGGTGTGAGCCGCTGAAGGGGAAAGTGTCATTATCGACTGCAGCCAAACTAAAGGACCCACGTATTTCCAAATGTACTGGTACAGACAGAGACCAGCAGAAAACATGAGACTGATTGTCTTCACTACTCCCAACTCTGAACCTGATTTTGAGGTGGATTTTGCAAAAAATAAATTTAATGTTACAAAACCAAATGCAGAAAAGGGCACATTATCAGTGGGAGACCTGCATCCAGGAGATAGTGGAGTGTACTTTTGTGCCGTCAAAGAACACAGTGTGATGAATGCATTTAATAGATGAACAAGAACCCTTGAAAAAAACAATGAAACAGCTCAATAAGTCTTACACCTGCTGCATTTGGCAGAAGCTCAAAAATGACTGGTGACGACATATAGACATGGCAGATGATTACAAGTCCACTCACATAAATACCAACTGTCATGATTTTGTACTCAAAGTTCAAGTACTTTTCTGAAGATTCATCCTTCACACTTAATAAACTAATAATCTTTTACTATTATCTCACGTTTTCTTCTCATTCATCTTCGGTGTCCATCGTGAATGACGTAACATTCCAAAAAAAAACTCCAAACGGCAACAACATTTAAGTTTTGTTTAAATAACAGTTCAATTTTAATTTAGCTCCCAACCCTTCCTCGTTGTGTGTAAATAAGTAAGTGAGTAATGTTTATTTCTATAGCGCATTTTACAGACCAAGGTCACTCAAAGCACTTTAAAATGTTCAGAGTTGTCAGTCCATTGTTTTTGTCCTGCTTTCAGGTTTGGTATTCTTGCTTTGGATTTTTTTGCCCAGAGTCAGAACTAAACATGTCAAAGCAAAATTTGGGACTTGTGCAGCTATAATCTGTAAAACCAGTCTTCCTGAAAATGTGAGACAGGCTTCTTCTCTGACAATGTTCAAATCCAGGTTAAAAACTCCTGTTTAGCTGTGCATTATAACTGAAGG